GGGAAATTGTTAAGCACAAAAGATCAATGATTTAAATACATATGGTGAGTAAGAATAGTATATGAACTCAAGGCTCTTCGGTGGTGTTAATGACATGTAAGAAACGTACTGAAACAAACGTTGATCTTTGCTTAGCGATTTAAATGTGTAACTGAACAATAGAGGTATTGTAATGCTTGAAAGTGACCAAACTGTGGAAGACTGGGAAGAGGGATTGGGGGTAGAGACAACCAAGATATTAAAACTTCAGATTTACACTGCTACTTTTTAAACATGTGTCTCCGAATTTCTCTTTTACTTACAAATAAGTGTTTTGATTTGGTTTGTTCATTTATCGGAATCTGACATACTTTGCCTGCAGAACGGCCTTAATATAAAATTGCACTCAAAATAATTTCAGGATTTTTAGAAATATATGTAGGACTTAAATGCCTCGACCAAATGTTAGCGTGAACCATCGTAATGGTGCTGATAAAATCTTCACGTTAAAAACAGTGATCTATTTTAGTCGGTTATACATGTTAAAGGTGTTTTCCATTAATTCCTACGTTTTACTATGTTGTGAAATGTGCAGTTATTTTAATTGTCCATCAGCTGCAACGTTTCTTTGCGGTACACAGTGCTGCTATTCCTTGTCATGTTATGTTCTACTGCTAGCTGACTTTTTACAAAATATTTTTATTCTGATATAATATTTCATCTCTTAGGATTTAGTTGGAAAACTAAAAGATGCTGCAAAAAGTCTCGAAAGAGCGACTCAGATGTGATGGAAGGTGTCAGCGTGTGGAGTTGAAGCACTCCCATTCCTAAGGGCGTCTTCTAAATGACAAATGTCTTTCATCTCTATTTACACCTTGTGACGTAAACTTTTCCTTTTTGTGAGTTCTTGGATGTGAATGAAGCGAAGTCACTATTTCGTGAAGGCAGATGCCATTCTTTGTTCCTGTCATGTTTTCATGAAAATTAACTCGTGGTAGAAATTCAGTTAACTGTTGTGTCTTCAAAGCATTCCTTCTATTTTATTTTGTGTCCTTTAAGTATTTATCGCTGATTATTTTTCTCTGGGATCTAATAAAGTTGATTTCCTCTTGTTCTGCGTTTTTTAATGAGTGAATTAGCTGTACCTAGAACTGCGACGCTAAATGTAGTATCAGCTACTTCAGAGGCGACCCCCTTCCCCCCCCGCGCTGCTGCTACCGCGCGCTTGCCAAATTGCCCATCGCGCTTTGTTATTTCATTGAACTGCTCTTACATCGCCCGTGCGATTAAAGGTTAGTCCCCGCCGGGTGAGCGGGAAAAGGACTTTCAGACAGTTTTATGGAGTCGGACAGCCTCGCCGGCA